GCCATCGGGGTTGGGTTTTCGTCGCTTGGCAGCGATGTTGTAAAACAAACCGACCCGTGAGCTCGGCAACAAGGTTACTCCTTTTTTTCCTTTTTTTCTTTTGCGGTAACCATAATGGTGGTCGGGTAGATTGTGTTGTGCGGGGTGGAGAACCCTCACTCCGCGAAAAGGGGATAAGCGCACCACGTTGTGTGAAATAGGTCAAGCACCCTCGAGACAGTTACACAGTGCTTACAACTGTTTCTGGAAGTGAAAGCACCAGACAACAAATTAAGCCATACGCAGCTGTCATCCGCACGAAAGGAAGTAAGCACAAGATTCCGAACACCCTTCGCAGGACGCAGCGCACCCTTCATGCGACTCGGTGGTGTTTGCCATCGGGGTTGGGATTTCGTCGCTTGGCAACGACGTTGTAAAACAAGCCGATTCACTTCGTGAACTCGGCAACCAGGTTACCGTTTTTTTTTTTTTCCTCCGTTTATTTTTTTTGGGCGGTAACCATAATGATGGTTGAGTAGATCATGTTGTGCGGGGTGAACCCTCACTCCGCGCAAGGGGGATGATCGCACCACGTTGTGTTAAAATGGTCAAGCACCCTCGAGGCAGTTACACAGTGCTTACAACTGTCTCTGGAAGTGAAAGCACCAGAAAATAAATTAATTCATACGCAGCTGTCATCCGTACGCAAGGAAGTAAGCACAAGATGCCGAAAACCCTTAGCAGGATGCAGCGCACCCTTCATGCGACCCGCCGAATATCTCACGGCGCTTCGCGCTTGGTGATGTGAGAGCCTGGTCCGGTGCGAACCCGGCGTGCTCCGTCCCGGCTTCGTAGGGATGCGAGGTCAATGGTCTAACGACTACGGCATGCACGACTATGAGTACCTCCCCCCCCCGCCAGCGCCCTCAAAGCAGATACAAACACACGCCTTTTCGTTCTCCACCAGAATTATATTCTTCTAGAGGCTGACACGAAGGGGGTGGCTCCTGCGCTACACTTTCCAGAATCGGCAACTCTCTCCATATTTCCACGTTACCGTCACGTCGAGAGAGACTCCGCCTCCCTCCTTACCTTGCAAGGGTTGAACAGAACTTTTTGCTGGTGGTGGTAGGCTCCCGCGCTGGCGCCTCTCGGCGACCCTTCCTCTTCGCCAGCCGCGCTAGCCGCCTCTTTCTCCACTTCGAGCCAAGCCTCGAGCCACAACCCCCCCTCCTCCTCGCCGACGCCGGTACTACCTTGGTCCTCGCCCACTGCCTCCTCCTCTGCCATCGCTGCCGCCGCTGCTGCCCGCAGTTTTCCTCCTGATCCTGTCTCAGAAGCCGCAGGCCGCCGCCAGACGACCTTCCCTCTCTCGTCCCAATCGAGACGGCCGCCGCCTTCGGCGCCGCCGGTCGCTACTACCCCCCCCTTAGCTACGGCGCCCCCTCCCCCCCCGGGAGGTGCTGCCGTTGGTGGTGGTGAGTCGGAAACAATTGCCACCGGCGACGCCGCTACCACTCGTTCACCTTCCGGCGTACCTGCCGCTGCCGCTGCCGCTACCGCCCCCTCGATAATTTCTTCCACGACATCGGCAACGACACCGCGCGCGGTGGCGGTGGCCTCGTCATCCCCTACGATTGTCAAGGAGCCGGACAACTCCTCGCCCGCCCCACCGTCGCCTTCGCCACCAACCCCCCCGCCACCTGCAACACAAGCCGCGTCCCCCCCCTCGGGACCGTCCGACCAGTTGGGAGGGCTGTACCACCGCAAGAAGTCGGCGAAAACAGCGCCCGGGTTGGCCGAGAGGAAGCACTGCATGTCGGCCGAGAGGGTGGACAGTCGGAGCCGCGAAGCCCTCGTGTTCGACTGCTGCCGAGCCCTGAATCCGTCAGATGATTCCGCTGCGAAGCTTTTGGGATCAACAGAGGGTGCGGGAAGACGTAGGCGGGGAGGTCGTGATCGTTCAAGACAGAGCGCGCCGGGCGGTGGGCGTGTGCATGTGTGATGGCAACTATAGTACGGGTAAGGGGGAAGTCGGTCGGGATCAAAGGCGGTTGGAGGTGAAATGTTCACGGCCCCAACATCAATGATGATGATGATGATAACAGTTACAATACTGATGTCGGACCGAAGGGGTCGCTTATTTTTCAGTCAACACCAACAACAGGTTGTACCCGTCGAACCCCTCTTACAACCCTGACACGCAAGGCGAGGCAACACAGGCCCTGACCGCTGGCTTCACGTAGAAAAGCACAGCAGGCGACTTTGGCGATCGCTGTGCCCTTGCGAGGTTTGGGCCTGAAAGGTAAACTACCTGAGACGTCGCGCGATCTCCCTCTGCTGCTCAAGCATGTCCGATGTGAGGGGGCACGCAGGCAACAGCTCCGGCACCACCGCCCTGCAGAGGCAGACGACAACAGACACCAACAGGGAAAAATCGAAATTGTGTGCACGGCCATGGAAACACTCGCTCGTTCCGTTGTGCGTCGTTGGCTTCCATCCAATACATTTGGAGACAGGAACCATCCCGTAGGCCCTGACCTTCATAGCTCAGGATTCAGGGGATACCTTAAGCGACGCGTTGCAAAGCTCGTTGTTAGTAAACCATAATTGAGTTCATAAGTCGCGAAGGAAGGGATTGCTGTACCCGTCTCGCGATAAAAATACCTCAGGCAGGAACCGCAGGAGGGGGTCCAACCCCCCGCTCCTGTGTGACTCCGGTTGGGTCGTCTAGCTGGTAGAAGTGGAGGATAGGGGCCAGAGGGGCAGACGACAGAGTCCAATCATGGGAGAAAAAAAAACATATATATATAGGTAGATAGATAGATAGATGGAGCAACACCTGCCGCCGAAATACACTACACGGGAAAAACGAGCACCTGCAGACTCGGGGCTGAGCGCGTGATTCAACCGACAACCAATACCCTGGCTTACCGCTCTCCCGTGGCCAGAAGGCGATGACCCGTGAAGCGCGTTACCCTACCGACAGCGGCGGCATCGCCACCACCGTCGTCAACACCAGCACCAACCGCCACCTCGGCAACGGCAGCAGCATCCCCACCGCCACCTTCTACGCCACCCGGCGCCGCCACACCGTCTCCTTCCGCCCCCTCTCCCGCCGGGGTGGTGTCGCCAGCGCCGTCCGCCTGCTGCTCCACAAGATCTTCTTCGATCTCTGCCTCCTGCTTCGAGGCGCTGCTAGCCCGGTGATCGCGGACCTTCTGAACGGCACCCCCCAAATTCCTAGCCGTGGCGCCCCCGGCCTTCTTCACCGCGCCCCCGACCCTGCTCACGGCACCCCTCACTTTCCCGCGGCCGGGGGGCGGGGAGCTGCTGCCGCTGGGCGGCGGCGGAGGCGGTGCATCCTCGGACGTGGCTGTGTCAACCACCGTCTTCCTCGTCACCGCCTGCTTCTGTTGTTGTTGCTGCTGCTTCTGTTGCTGCTGCTGCTGCTGCTGCCGCTGCTGCTGCTGCTGCTGCTGCCAATCTTCTTCTGGATCCCCGCCGACAACGCTGGAGGCCAATCTGGCCTTGGGGAGGGTGCTTGCATTTCGAGGGACTGGGGATGGTTCCGACGGCAGCGACATGTTGCAATCCCCCCGCTTCGTCGCACCACCGCCGCCACCGAAGTGCCACCAACCCCCCCCCTCGCTGTCGCTGCTACCGCCGCCGGTGGCGCCTTCCTTTTTAACTCCCACTCGCCTAAGGATAGCGTCTCGCTCCGCGGCAAACGCGGCCTGTTTCCTCTCCACCGAATCCTTGGCATCGTTTCCTGACGAGTCGCCGCCGTCCGGCCGACCGGCTTCGCGTTGACATGCACCGGCGTTGTCCGCGCCCTCACCGACGTGGCGGCCGCCGCTGCTTCTCCTTGAATGCCCCCCCCCTCCACCCTTTTCCGAGCCTGCTGCTGCAACCGTTGCCGCAGCAGCTTCCTCTGCCGTTGTTGCTGGTGCTACCCGCTGCCCGGTCTCTTCGTCTACTGGACCACGACCGCTGAAACCGGAACCCGCGGCTCTTCCCCCCTCCGTACCCCCACCGTCGTAGTAGACTATGGGCGAAGAATCGGCGGGGGCCCCGTCCCCGCCACGATCGATGGTGGTGTCCTTATCCCTGCCATCTTGCTTATCTCCGGCGGGAGGCGGTGCCGACCGCGGCATTTTCAGCGCCCGGGTGCGGTGTTGCTCTGCCACGCAGCAATTGAGCATCTGGAGTTTCTGGTGCAGCAGACAGGTGCTGGCGGTCGACGCGTTGGGCGTTGGGAAAGGGAAGGTTGTTAATCATGCGGAATTAAAAAAGACACATTACCTAACACGAGACACACGTGGCCATTCTTGGAGAAAAACATAATTCGGCGTTGCTGCTTGCTGTCCACTTCCCGCATCCGGCTAGAGCTTATCCTACGACACCACGCGACGCGAAGACTGCAACAGAGGAACGAACGAAGACACAACTTCCTGAGCCGGCCCCGCAACTTTGGAGACAATTCAACACCAAGACGACCCACCGCATGTCTGGCGGGGGTGGCGGCAACGCAGCTCCTCCGCCCACCCTTCCCCCCCATGCCGTGGGGCGAGACCGAATCCCACCACCAGCAGCAGCGAACGGCTCATGAGCTGCTGCTCCATCGTCCCGTCCTGCTCTTCTTCCTCCCTCATCACACGCCCCCGGCGGCAAAGCAGCCGCAGCGCTACTGCCACCATCACCCCGACCCCCACCACTGCCAGCAACGCCACCACCACTGCCAGCAGCGCCAGCAGCACCAGCAGCACCAGCACCAGCAGCACCAGCACCAGCAGCACCACCAGCAGCAGCACCAGCACCAGAGAAAACGTCCACGGCATCCACTGCCGCCACCGTGCCCGGCGACTCCGACGATGACGTCGCCGCCGGGGTGGCGGGCGGGCTCCGGAGGATGTTCCGCCGCAGCCGCTCGGAAAGACCGGCGCGCTGTCCCGTGATGCGCAGATCGTACATGCTGAGACCGTCCACCGGTGGTTCCGGATCCTGCGCCAGCGAGAGAGGGGGCAGGAGGCGGTGGGGCCTCTGAGAGGGGGTAAGAAGTTCTTTTTTTTTTCTGGACAGAGACGAACATTATCCCGACTTTCTCGTCCGGATTCTTACGCTTTGCATCCGCTTAAATCTGCCAACACGTCGTAGATGCTGCAGGAAGGAAGCTTTTTGGGCGTCACTAAACCTTAGTTAGGCTACGCCGAAACCTGAGTACCTCACCATCTGCGGGACAGACGCGCTCTCTTCCCACAGAAACCTAAGCTCTTGCACAAAGGACTTCCAGAAGGCTGCCACGTCCCCAAGGCAGACCCCCTCCGCCCCTGCAAAGACGACAGGTTGACAACACGCAGAAGCACACGCACACTCATGCAGCTTTCTTCTGTGCTGCCGTTTCTATCTTTCATCCGGAGAGTAGCTCGTGTGGCGCCCCCCACCAAGCCCCCTTGCGGGGGTCCCAGATCATGGCTAATAGAAGAACTTTTAGCCGCTCTAAGACTGAGGCCTAACTTTCATTGGCCGACTAGCGCGGTCTTCAGAATGATACAAAAAAAAAGGCGCGGACACTGCCAGTGTCCTTCCGTCGGTCATGGGGTTACCGCGCTCAATGCCAATTCAAGAAACACACTCATAACGGATGAACAAACAGGGGCGGAGAGAGGGGGAGAGCTTCAGCGATGTGTACAAGAGGGGGGGGAAACGGAGGGATCAGCGAAAAGAGAAAGGGGTGTGCGTGGAGGGCGTGATCCTTGGCGGTGTGCAACTATTGCAACCACCACCCTCCACCACCATCCTTCATCGTGGGTGTGATCGCACCCAACGTGCCCGCATTGTTCGCAAGCCCAACAAGAGAACAAGAGAACCAAACCCCCGCGGACGATTCACGCAGGTACTCTGCTACCGCAAGGTTGCAGCTCTTTCTTTTTTTCCCGCTTTTCTACCACAGCTCTATTCCACCCGATTCCACTACAACAAACAACTCACCGAACCTAGCTGCCTCTAGTGCAAGCTGCGACACCAGGCGGCAGGCCGGCGCCCCCCCCCTCGGTACCCACAGCCACGGGGACCCCCTCTCGTCACCACCGCCATCGGCACCGGACCCCCCTCCCTCAGCGCCAGCCTTCTCCGCACCGTTACCATCCCCAACGTCGCCCCCCCCCGGCGCCATCGCCGAACCTCCGCCGCCCCCGTGCTTTTGGGCGCTTCGCGACGGCCTAGACCGACGGGGGGTTAAGAGGTAGCGCGCGCTGTGGACGATGTCCGCCGGGTCTTTGTGGCCACCCAAAAAGGCAAGGGGGGGGGGGGGGG